CCGATCCGGAGCCGCCGCTCGGGCACGTGGGTTAGCTGCAGGAAATCCTGAGCCCGGCCCGGCCGGAGCGCTGACCTTAGCCCCGTGAGCTCCGCCGGCTGTCGGGGGCACAGCTAAAGGCACTGCTAGGAATACAACCCGAGTTAATTGCTGTGGTTGCATTTAGTGACCGCAAACGGAACAGGGAATACAGCAGAAAGGAAAGCAGGAACAGAGGCAAAGCCCGTGCTCTAAACTACTGGCAATCCAGGAAATGTGAAGTTGCCAAGCTTTGGACAGCAAACCTAGTTCCCTAACTTGTTCTGGTACAGATTTTTTTCAGTAAAGGTAGGCTCAGGTGGGCAGGGCTAAAGTGTACACAATGTCCTGCTTAGCCTAGTAAATCCATCACATGGAACTGGTGACTGACAAAATAAGCACCGCCAACACAGCGTACAGGAAAGAAAAGCAGTGCACACTCCTACATTAACCGATGGGTTGAAATAGCAGTTTAGTGTTCATTCCTCCCCCATATTAGTGGCTAAAAAACCCCACCACCCCTCAACAGTAAAAATAAAATATGCACAGAGCAGGGATAATGTTTTATAAAATGTACTGTGGTCATTCTGACTAATAGTTTCATTCCCTGCACACATGTGAGAGAGTCTGCCTTTGGGAGGAGAAGCTCGTTGTGGTCATTTAGTGTGTTTGTCAAAGCCAACATTGATTGTACCCAACCACACAGAAGCAGTTCACAAACAGGAAATACCAATACAGTAACCAGTAGCATTTTGCCCAGAGCAACATCTGTGCTCTGAGCAGCTTAGTGTAATACTAAACAGTACAAATCTGTTGATAACACAATGTCAAATGGTAAATCTGGGATTAAGCATTTCTGAGTCAAAGCCTTCAACTCCATTAAAAAAGAAATAGACCTTAATTCTAATCTTGGTACAGTGGTGTCAGTGTGAAGTTATCTTGCTGATTTTACAGACATTACATCATGTTTATTAAATGGTAACTGAGATGACTGAGGTATGTCAGCCTGAGCACTAACTCCCACAGTCATAGTTGTCTTAGTTCATTATTCTACCAAGTTAAGTCATCCTTATAATTGCTCAGGAGAGACTGGAGGTGCACAGAATTCATCATGACATTGTCTCCTTGCCAAGGGAACCTCCTGCAAGCTGACTGCATGTTTGAAAAGCATCTACCTGTCTACAGTCTAACTGGATGAGAAATGTTGGCTATAGGCTAGTAAACATGTCAAGACAAGATGGTTACACTGAAATTGGAATTTTATTGCTAAGGTTGCTATAAATTAATAATGAGAATGAGGACATATAGTAAAAGCAGCAGTAAAGATAGAGAACAAGAACACAAAGGACGTGGGGTGAAACATTTGTTGCATGCTACCCTCCGAGACTTACACCTATCTTAGTCTTATGAGGAGGAGGAAAAGCCACAAAGACATCTGAGAAACACAGGTGTGAATTTTCTCCTCTATTCAACTTGCTTAGTTGGTTCCATCACCTATTTAATCTCTGCTGAAGAACAAAGTGAAGCCAGTGTTGGCTCACATTCAGGGTCACTCCATCCAGACAGCGTTTGGAATGTGCTTTAGCACTAGGGAAGTTGTGCCTTGGCCAGAAGTAAACTTAGACTCCCACCCCTTCCTCAGTGGTACAGAAGCCTTTAGGCACTCAGCAGAAGAGGCTGGCTCTCTCACCCCCCAGGCTTGCACAAAAGAAGCCAATAGCTATGTTTTTCCATGTAACATGTAAGAATTTGGGAGTGGGCTCTGGTTCACCTCTTTAATGTAGTCAGACTTATCTGAAGGCTGAGCATTCCCACCCCACTCTCAGGAAGCCTGGCTCTGTCCAGCTGTCCATAACTGAGCCCAAAAGTCACCAGTCACAGATGAACATGACCTCTGTAAGCACTGACACCGAATCCTGAATGGACTGTCACTGCTGTAAAACAGACTCAGTCATCCTTACTTGACAGCATACACTTCACAGAAGCAGTGGCACTGTGGTACCTGTGGACCTCCCGTAGCTCTAGGGGAATCAGTGGAGGAAAGCATGTGCTTGGGTGCTGTGCAGGTGTAACTGGAATCACAGCATCATGAATAGCACCACTCAGGATGAATCATTTCAATCGGCTCTGACAATGATCTTGCCACACCTGCTGCCATCACTGTGGCTTCACCTGTCTGCAACAGCTGGCACGGCAGTCCCTGCAAGCCCCAGCCCTGTCAGCCCACACCGGCATCCACACCAACTGCAGACACACGTAGTACTGGCCTGGGCAGAGAAAGGCTACTGAGCCACAAGTCTGTATCCAGCCAGATGTTAGCACAGATCTGACCAAACCTCCTCTCTGTCCCTGAGCTACAGGAGGTAGGGCCATGCCCTCAGGAGGCTTCACCAAGCAGTGACTACAGGTCGCAATCCCCATCCCGTTGCTTTGTGCACTAAGACACTGCCACTGCTATTTCTGCAGTGAGATCAGAAAGGCTGCAGCAAGATCACTCTGTTCTTGTTTTTGTGCTTTAGCACAGTTTTGTACATTTGCTTTCTGGCTTCTAAATGCCTATGCTACCAAGATCAAAAAGCAGCTTCTGATTTTTGTATAAAAACAGTCTTTTGTTTCCAAGATGGAACTGGAATATTTGGCTTCAATTTGTAATGTGTTTTTCCACTGAGAAGGGGTAAGGTTACCTTTTAATGGAGACTTAGTTCAATTTGAACTTTTAAAAAGATCATTTCTCGATTTGAGTTCAACACAGAAATGTTTTGCAATCATCAAGAGTCTTTATTTTATATACTTCACTTGAAGAAACTGGGAACCTAGATAGAGTTATGTCCTGAAAGCACAAGAGATGGTCCCCTGCTGTGATGAACAGCTCTTGTGGAAAAAAAAACAAACAAAACTCAATACAATAAAACTCAGAACTCTAGCTGACTGACTTTGTGTTATCCCTTACCAATCATTATGAAATTCAAAAAAGTCACATTCAATTGTTTTATTCTCCCCTCTTCCTTACAAACTAAGAATCACAGAGGGAAAAGAGGAGATGGAGGCATTCTGCAGAACTAGCTATATTGCAAAGTGCAAGCCAAAGAGCAGTGTGGACCTGTAATCAACTCCAAGGCTATCTCAAGGCTTAAAGAGGGCAGACATGTTCGTTCATTTGCACTGCAGTCACCTGTCTGACCTCAAGGGTACCAGGCTCCTAAGACAGCTTCAGTCCTGTGTTCAGATTTCCTTTGGTTTGGACTAGTAATAGGAAGCTTTCGCTTTAGCCCTCTTCTCCACCTCCAGCAAGTCTTCTCAGTACATCCCACTGGCAGAGCACCTGCAGCTTGTGTTAGTCTGTGAGAGGACATGCATATACACTGGTGTATGAGCCAAAGTTGACGTTCCCTGGATTAGGCCCACTCTTAGTAATGCAGTCAAGATTACATCTGTTTGTTTACTTCCAGTGATTCCAGTTTGTAGAGTTGGTCCTAAGTCATGAAAGCTTAGTGCTTCCCCTGGCTGCTACTCAAATTCTTGTCCAAGACCCCTATTACTTAAATAAGTAGAACAGAGACCAGACAGCTTTAGGATGAAATTAATCTAAACTTATATGGGTGCAAGTTCTCATATATTTTCACCTTTCCTGACATACCTGAAACCCAGGGAACCATAAGGAAATTAACCTACTTCTGAATGAAAGCATAAGAAAGACTTAACATTAAAACAACATGAATACAAGAAGCTGAAAGTGGAAGTATAAAAATAAGTTCTCTTACCATAAGAACTCAACTTAGGCACCCTGCCTCTTTTACCTGAATAAGAAAGCATGTGCATTTTTTTCAGAGCTTTCTCTCCCCTGCCAAGCACAGCTCAGCACAGATTAGAACAGGACAGGCAACAGGCCACGTAACATACAAATCAGCTGCACTCCAGGTGACAGTCCACAGCAGCTTGCAGAAACACCTTGTGTAAAGGAACCAAGCATACAAACAAAGCCAGCCAGGTTCCTGGGAGTGTTTTCCTCAACAAGCCATGGAGGGAAGAAACCTGCTGAATGTAAGGGGAAAGTGTGCATAGAACAAACCCAGGCTCAGCTGTGCTCAAAACTAGTTGCAAATAAGGAACCTGGTTCAGGAAACCTCGGTGGCTATGAAGCAGACATCCTATCCCAGCCCTGACAAGGCAGCTGGTTTCAAAGTGCCAGTGTGCAACGTCTGCTTGTGCTGCCTGTCTCTTCCTGCCTGCCTGCAGAGGGGCTCTGCTGGGCCCAGCAGGGCCAGGGCTGCTCAGGTTAGCTCTGCTGCAGGCTCTGCAGAGCAGTAGCAGTACTGAGCAGAGACACTGGTCAATGGCCTCTTCCTCAGCACTGAGCTGTGTGGGGTCTGAGGGAACTGTTCTAGAGACAAGGAGAACCACTTGCAAAGCTAAAGACCCGTTACTTCCATCTGACAGAGAGGAGTGATTTGGGATAAAGAGGGAGGTGGAACAACAAACACTGGTCTTCCCTGCCGCTGGTCATTCACATTTTGGGAGAATAAAAGAACTGAGGAGTGCTGTCACTTCTTAGTGGCTTGCTTGTATGTTCTTCACCTGGATGGTGTAAGAGGCAAGCATAGAACTCCATCTAAGAAGATACACTACCATCTGCAGCAAGTGTGAAAACAAAACGATCCTCAAGCATGGCAGACTGCCTAATGACAAGGAGTTTCTGCTGAGCTATGTTTGTCCAGGGAATGTTTAGAAGCCAGTAGTATGCATATACTAATGCAGGGCTCCCATAAAGCTCTTATTTGGACCAGATCCTAGATCCCTCCAAAAAAGTCCTATGGTGTTTACAGTAACAATTTTTTCATAAAGCAGGTGACACTAGCGCTCATACTGATCCTTGTAACTCTGAACATCAGAACAGAATTCAGGAACAGCACATGCCATCTCCAACCACCTAACTAGATGGTGCCTTTAAACTCTGGTTAAGACAGTTAAGAAACAGTTATTAAGATGTCACTACTGAAAAACAGCTATTGCATTTCTTAAAGTTTAACAGTAAACAACATTGCCAATATATTATTGCACACAATAAAGGTTTTTGAAACTACAGAGACAAGGAATGGGTAATCTAGAAGACCCAGAATAGTGATCCCAGAGCCATTCCAGTTGCTGCTCCAGCAAGCATTCCCAGGGCAAGATCTCCATCGCTGTCACGGTAACGCTCTCGAATGATGACATGGTTTGCAGGGGGTTGGCCATAAGGTCCTAGGAAATGAGAGGTTGTTAGGAGGAGGGCAAAAGAAATGTGTATCTTAATACCATGCACTGCAATTTCAAAACAGGCCCACTCTTTCTGTCTCTTCCTTTGACTCAACACTTAGGTGATGTCAGCTACAAAGGTAAAACACATTTCTGCTTAGGATTCATTCTCCACATTAATAAATCCAAGGGCCGAGCAACATTTCTAGCCCTGTAAGAGCTTGGTATCTGTGTGAAAAAGCTCATCACAAATATAAACCTGAACACTGTTTTGTGAAGAACCTATGAATAACTTCTATCATTCTATCTAACACTTCGTGGATTTAGTGCAAGAAATGTGTCTAAAAATTCATTCAGGCTTGAAGTTAAGGCAAATAGTGTAGTTCCACCCCAAAGAAAAAAAATCTTTGGCAATTCTCAAGCCAGTAGCTCGTCAGAAACTGTTTATCAGTTATTTTCTCTGAATTTACTGCCTAATGCTTCAATTCAGCCTTCACATCCTGGACTGGTCTGTGGTGTGGTAACAGCTGCTACATTGCTTTTCAGATGAAGATTGGCCCAGTAGTAAGGAATTGACCTAAGACTGAAGAAACCACCAATCTGCCCTTGCTCTGCAACAGACTTGTACAAGCTCCACCTGTCACGTTTGCTGACTTACCTCCCACCTGCAAAGCAAACATAACAGTGCTACTTTCCCTTCCAGACATTTCAGGAAGATCAAATATTCTTGAATATCCCACAATATTTTTTGTAACAGATTCTAAAATAATACAACTGGAAAAGGCTTTCAAGTGACTGCCAACAATGCATGACTGGAAACCTCACGAGAAGGGTTATGTCACTTCAGACCATGAGCAATGGCACCTGAAGCACAGGCATGAAGTTAGTTGCAGGGTGAACCTAAACCCTAAGATTTAGTTGCAGTGACCTTAGTGAAGGGAAACACTGACGCTTGGTTACGCTGCCCAACCTGTAACTAGTATCTTAACTCACTGGACTTGCAAACTGTCAGAAGAGCTCCTCTTTAATGCTGCATTGTTACCACACAGGTTTCTGAGGCTTGATTTCCAAGGCCTGCTGGAAGTTTTTTTTAAAACAGTTCTTGGGACTTTCAACAAGCTGCTGCTTTTCAGCTGCTCAAAACCAACAGAACCCATCTTCCTCTGGGTTTGCATGTATGTGATCTGTATCTTAGGACTTCACTAACTTAGATGAAAAAAACTTTGAAAGTTTTAGGCTGATGCACCTCCCTTGTAACAAAAATGAGAAAAGGCAAGTGAAATAATCTGAAAAATGTCAAATAGAAAACAAAATCTACCTCACAACTGAAAAAAACCTCAATATATACTCTTATTTGCAGAGCCAGGTCATAAACAATTAGTCAGCTAAACCTCACTTACATTACCCATGGTACTCTAAAGCTCCAATTCTGTAGGACTGGGGCTCTCTATGCAGAACTAACCATGAATTAAGGCGACTACAATTAAAAGCACACCCTACAATTTTACTGTATAGGGACTGAAAGCTACACAAATCTGCAACAGAAGACTCTACAAGGCTGAATGTACTGCCTTACTCATGGGGCAGGAACCAGCTGCAACCTTGCTTTCGGAGTGGATTTACCTTTGAAACTTGCATTTAAATAATTAAGCTAGGTGCAAGAGTAACAGGTGCCTTTCCTTAGAAAATATGCTGTAGTTAGAGAGTTCTGTGTGCTTCAAAAAGACTTTATGAAGTAATTTAACTATGTTGGAACCACATTTGGGAAAGTCTGCTGTGAAAAGCTGAGGGGACTTGGTTCCAGTTCCAGTTCAGTCAGGTTTCTTCCTATCCCTCTGTTGTGCAGGAGTGGTGGCTGGTAAAGGATTAATAGAATTACAGCCAGAAAGACTTACTGAAATAGCTTCTGTGGGAAGGTGAAGGATGTGACTGATAGTGATTACCTTGGTATGGATACTGATAGGGAACAGCATAAGCTTGTCCGTTGGAGGCATAGAAGATCTGAGGCCCCGCAGGGGGATACACACCATGGTACTGCTCATAGCCATAGCCATACACCTGGGGACATTGAAAGTATCTGTTACACAAGTATTCTTTGCTATGTAGCTAATTAAGCACATTGTTCCTTTGTTACTAATGCAGTTAAAGTTTCACTGAAATACCCAGTCTGTACTGATACAGCCTATCTACTCCCTGGAAAGGATTCAGAACAGCTGCTCGAAAAACTCAGTACCCCTAAGCAGCATTCCTCTCCACCCTTCCTGGACAGTGGATGGCAGAGGCAGGGCATGGATCATCAGGCAGAGCCACAGCAGCCTGACCAGCTTCTCTCTGCCCTCATGCCAACAACAGTTCTCTGGTGAGCTCAGAAGTGCCAGGAAGGCAGAAGCTGATCCCAAGAAACTCCAACCGACCTTCCTCTAGCACATTGCATGTAAATGTCAGATTTATGACAAATACTCTGTAGCCCTGCGTTTTGGAAGCAATTTTATTCTCCGAAAGAGGAGGTCCACTGCTTCCAGTACCACATCTAGTTCTTGAGAGCTAACAGCAAGGGGCTGGAGCAGAGCACCTGTAGTGCAACAGGCAATACTACTCCAAACTGTCCCTTCGCATATTGCTGCATATCAGACAGAACATCCAGAAATCCCCAATGTACACTGGTTCAGCCCCAGGGCTGCTCCCTCACTGCAAAAGAACTGAGTATCCAGGCATTGGAGTTATTGTGTTGCTATGACATTTTGGATACAACAAAATCTGTATGTGGTAAAAGTGACAGCTCCAGTCATCAAATCCTATTTTTAAAACTCCTGATTTTATATCTTCCCAGTGCTTACACAATGTGAAAGTGTAGTCACACCTCCTTATGTTAGAAGCTGCACAGCCAATATCTTTCAAGATTAGCCAAATAAATTCTGCCCTGTCTCTAAGAAGCTTTATTTTCCAAATTCACTGAGCAGCCATCCCTTTATACACCTCTCAACCCCATCTGCCTCGTCCCTTTCAAAGGAAATCCATCTCAAATAAGAATGACAGCACATTGTTAGTACCTTACTCTCTCCTGTTGCACAAGCCTTAAAGCTGGACATCACAATACAACACAGCACTGAGCACAGTCTGAGTGCAAGGAGGAGGTTGCTCTGCTGCCTCACTCATTTTAATGCTGCCTGATTGCAAGGCTTACCTCAGGTGATGGTGTGGCATAAGCTGTGTAGGGAGGAGGGGCCGAGGAAATGGCTGTCTCATCATACATCACATCAGATCCCACATACCCCTAAACACCACAGAAAGACAGCAGTCAGCACCTTTTCCTACAGACTGGCAGCTAGAGTAGTGCAAGGATTAAAACTTCAGTGACTCCAAAGAAAGAGTGACCTCTAGCCACACTGCATGCTGTTGGGGCCTGGCTAGCAGAGGAGCTGTAACTGCGTGGCAAGAAAGCAGTACATTATAAGGCTGCAAAAACAAAGTCCTTGGAGAGCGACCTGGGAGAATACAAATGCATGATCAACCACAGGAAGGAGTCATAAAATTTCTACCTCTGTATGGTCACACACAGGTATATGTGTACATCCTTCCATCATTTTATAGCCTCAGATTGAGAAATTACCATCTTGTTCATCCCCTTTTCAGATAAAGAAGTCTTCACAACTAAGCCAGCTGATTCCTGGTGCCTTACAGTAGTATCACCAACTTCTGCCACAGCAGATAAAGGAAACAAATGTCACAGCCAAAAGCAGTATCTGAGGCAAAGGTGGTAACTTACTTGAGTATGTGTACAAGGAGTTTTCAAAGATAATTAAGAGTTCTTACAGTAGTCTTGTATTCTTGCCCCTAATATCTGAGCTCTACAGTGATGCTGTTAGTGCCTATCCCAAGATAAAAAACAGCTCCCTTTCTTTAACTCTCAAGTGAAGGTTTTAATAGCTCAATAGCAAACATTCTATTGTCTCTCGTACTCGGACTAATGAAAGGTGTTTGAGGACATACTGTGGGTATATCCCAGGTCAAACTTTGGTGGAGATTCTAAGGATTGCTTGAAACACACTGCTAAATACTGTATGAAGTGGTATTTCCATCACCCAGAAAAAAACACAGCAAGTCCAAACATCTTAACAGTGTCTTCTTTCTGCCACAGGGAGCTCTGTACAGGCAGATGCACAAGCCTGCAAATGCCTGTAAATGGCACAGTTCTCAAAGCTAAGGTGATCACCCTGCTATTACAGTCAAACTAGGAGGTACTGCTGGATGCTTAGAATTTTTGAAAGCTGTGTTAGACACCTACAGATGGACTCAAATGGGTTAGCCCAAGTCCCTGTTGGAGACCTTACTAGCTTTGCAAAGGGATAATTTGTAACACTACTTGTGCACAGAGCCACCTGCCCTACTTTGAGTACCAGGCATCTGCCTTGGCTGACCAAGGTGAGGCACTGGCAAGTTCTGAGCCATCTAGCAGTGCTGACAGCTGTGTCAGAAGCCTGGAAAGAGCATCTCCTAACTCCTGAAACCAGGAGTCACCAGCTCACCCGCAGGCGAGGTAAAGCCCCAAAACGAGGGCAGGCAGACCACGCACGGTGTCCTCTGTGTGAGGACAAATCATCCACTTCTCATTTTAGGCCACAGGCAGTGTACAATGGCTGCAGTCAGAGGAAATCATGTCCAGGGTAGTTTTGCCATGACAAGTGTTTGCTTTAGGTGTCTACAAATCTGAGTTATATCATCTGACAGATGCCTCAGAGTACAGCGACAACGTGAACGTGACCCATCAAAACTGGGATAAGCTTCTACAAACCCCAGCATTTCCCCTGAAACACCTTGGGTTGGTTCAATCTAGCCATCCAAGGAAAGCTAGGGCTGAAGATTACTCTGGAAGGTAGTCTAGAGGAAAAACAAATTAGCAATATCCACAAGTGGATGGATGAGGTTGCCCAAAGATACAGCTCTCTACAAGACTCTCAGAGAGGCTTCTATGATTCCTGATACTCTCCCCAGCTAGCATGCCAATGCAGACGTACTGTCCTCCTCCTCAGCATGCCTGCACTCCCTTCCAGGCATCTCTTCCTCCTCCCCTAGTCTCTGCCAAGGAGCATCCCACAGCGTGATGGATCTGCATTAACAGCTGCTGTGCACTAAGCTTCCTCCAGCACCGCACCCACGTGGTAGGCAACAAACACTACCACTGGAACGTGCATTTTTACTGGTAGCAGAGGACTTACTTCTTGCCTGCAGCCTCAGAGCCCACTCTGCTTACAGACCAGCTTCCCAAACATTCACTTCCACCCAGAGAAATCATTCATTTCCACCCAGCATGTATTTGCCTAGACTTGGCTGCAAGTATGACATGTGCTTGTGATCCAGAGGATCATTATTCCCCCCACCCACAAGCCTTACCATCATGCTCATGACCCCCTTTTTCTCTAGCAGAGAAGGATGGAACATGATTTCAGAAGAAAAAAACATAACACTGCTGCATCTCTATCAGTATAAAGGTCTAGGTAGGACACTCACTGTGTTTGTTCTGGCATCCTGGAGAGCAATTTTCCATGCCCTGCAAGAAAACCCCATTGTTTAGTGGAACAGTGATAAAAATTAATGCCACCTTTGTCTTTTAGTACTATGAAACAAACAAGGTTAGCAACTAGAGGTACTGCAGGACCAGAGTTTAAGATACTGCATGTGTCAAAGCCTAATGATATACTAAAATGAGTGTACAAAAGTGTTACACCAAGACTGAGAAATAATTACTTTCTCTGCAGAACTGAGAAAGAGTGAGGAGGAATATGAGAAGGAAGAGATGCAGTTTTGAAGGTCTTTGTTGCAAGCACAACACATAGGAAATATGCCTTAGGAAATATCCCAAGTCATGCTTTGGATAAGGTAATAAGAAGAGATGCACCAGGGAGGTTATATCCCCTGCCTGAACAGTTTATCTGTGCTGACTAGAGTGTGGGTCGTGGTGCTACTGCAGTTCAACAGGAGGTATATCCACCTCAGGTAGATCCTTCCATGCCACAGGGCTGGGAGCACGCTCGAGGCACCACACAGACCTGGCAAACACTGATGACAGAATTATCTAACACTACACAGCTAAGCTCAGCTGAGAGTGCACAATAATGGAATAGTCTTCCTTCCACTACTGATCAGGATGTCCTTGGGCTATGCAGGGTTATGTACTACTTGGAGAATGGCAAAAGTTTGAAAGAATCTGTTTGGCAAATCTTGCATTAATCACAGTAATCAGATTCTTCTACTTCTCTTCACCCTTTGGTGTTTTCAGTGACTTAACTTGCAGTTAGTTTGCATGAATTAGACAACAATATGAGAGCTATAGGGCTTTTTGGTTACTGAAATCCTGCTTTTACTGGCTTGAAAACTTTCTTAAAACATGTCTTCAAAAGTTTCAAGGAAGGAAAATAGTCAGGGAGAGAGAGAAAAAGAGATAAAAGAGAGAGGGGCAGCAAAACCATTATTCTCTGGCAGACTTACAGGCAGTCATCTGCACTCTCTGCACAGAGGTTCACTGTCTTCCCATCGCGGCAAACAATCTGCAGTAAACAGTCTCTCTGCTTCCCTTCTGGAGGTTGGAAATCTGAGTCAGAAAAAAAGAGAAGTACTGAAGTATCTATAACCAGAATTTCATTATCATATTTAGAAGAAGGGATGCAGTTTATGCAAGTCTGGACAAAATAAAGTAGGAAGAGTTGCATCTACCTTCCATGGCATTAGGACATATTACAGAAGGAAATAACCTGTTACCACTCTTTAGAGTGTCCTGCACGTAAGCAGCTCTGAACACCATTCCTAGGAAATCCAAGTGCCTTACAGGAGAAGCAATCCATGTTTGGCAGTAAGTACTCTCCAGCACTTGTGTCCTCCCCTTGTGTCATCATCAAGTGGAGTACTTAAAAATGCTAGAAGTGAACTTAGGAACAAAATCTGCTGAGGTTTCCCATTTCGAGTCCTGCCTCTCACTCCAGCCAACACTACCTCCACCAGGAACATTCTGTAATTACACACACAGTCTACTGTGAACACCTCATTCTCACCTGCATGCATGGTACCTGTCCTCACAGTTTGAAAAGCAGTTTGAAAGGAGGTGTCAAACCCTAACCTAAACCTCTCACATGGTCATACCACACCCTGAGTATCTCTCAAGGAATGTAGTACTCGGGGGGGTTGGGTTTTTTTCAGGGGCTGAGTCAAGAGCAATGACGTTGCACACTTCTTGGACATGTTTACTTCTCCTGCAGTGCCATAAATGCTATGCTAGGCAGGCACTGAAGCTGTAAAGATCTTCTGGGTACACAAATCTTTGTGGTTACCTCGACATTCACTCCCCACTCTGAGGTTGATGCAGTGGATTCTCATGTGGATTTTATCTTCTAGATCGCGGCGGCTCTGATCATCATAGAATATTAAGCGCCCATCAGACCACAGGTCAAACCAGTTCTTCTTCCAGCGCCGTAAAATTGTACCTTAAAAAACAGACAGTCACTTTGAGGGCAAATACTGGGAAATATTTGTGTTCTAGAGTTAATAAAAAATACACCAAGAAATCCTTCACAGTTGCCCCAGACACTCTGAGGTGCCAAAGCCTGTACTACATTACAACATGCCCACTTGGGAACATCACAGAATTGGATTCTGTATCTCATCTGGGACTCAAAGCAAAACTGAGTTTACTTTAAGTGCCTAACCTGGTGCCTAACCAGCTGCAAGAACAAGCAGAGGGCATGACTTGTTGAAGACATTATGGTGTGAGGTAAAGCTTCCAAGTCTCCACTCATACAGCACTAACTACAGAGCAGCATGTGACACTGAATGTGTCAGACACCTCAGCTATGGCCTATCCCATTTGCCACTGGTGTATCCAAAGGTCACACGGGAATGCTGTCATGACAGGTCATTTTGTGACGTGTCCTAAAAGCAAAACCAAAATAGCAACAAAAAACAACCCCCAGAGCTAGAGGCTTGTTTAAAGCAAACCTTGGAATTACTAAGCTGCTCTGATGTTTTCTGAAGGAGTCACAGCAAGGAGAAAAGGAGAAAGACCCAAGACTTACTTTGCCGAAGCAGCCATCCACTCTTCACAAATGCCATTGTTGCTTAATCTAGTGGACAGAAGAGGAAGGTGAGGAGAAGAGAAGCAGTTTTCTATATTTCACAATAATACATTAGGAAGAGACAGCTCAGTATCATCTATTACAGCTGCACGTACCCAGCTGCATTGCAGAGACATGACAGATCTCACCTGAAAATAGTAAGGCACAACCAGCGTTCTAGGACTCAACAAATATCCAATGGGATTATCAGAGACCACTTTTAAGTTTAACTGAAAAATTCACTTACTGCTACTGCTTTTGCAATATGGGATAGGGACAGCCTGGAATGACTCCTTCCTGACTCACAACAGTCCTGTTCATAGCTGCTTTCTCGACATACCTGCACTCCCTGTATTCTGCAGTCTCAAGTTACTGAACTCCTCCACTCCTGTCCTACCTCTCTTGTGCTGTACTTCCTCTTCTGTGTTTTCCATTCACTGGCTCAAAGTCCAGCCAAAACAAAGGCTGAAACAGTTTAATCTGAAACTGGAAGGCAAAAGCTGCTTTTTGACTTGTATTTCTTTCGAATCATCACTACATCCCTCCAAGAAGAATTAGAGTAAGTAGAAGTTAAGCCCAGTTTTTAAATGAACCCTGAAATAGCATGGCAAGGACTCTGTTAAATTCAAGTTATCACACATGACATTAAGCACTTGGCCACTGCACTGGCTTTATGAGAATGCTAAAAAAAGAGATCAAGCATAGGATATATGGGAAAATGAGTTTTTATTTCATAGCATAATGGTGTTCTGAGTATCGTTTTAAAACAGATTAATAGAAACACAACTATCTGGGTGCAACAGAACTATAGCATAATGGTGTTCTGAGTATTGTTTTAAAACAGATTAATAAAAACACAACTATCTGGGTGCAACAGAACTAGAAAAGCAAGAACAGAAGCATTTGAAGCTTCCCTTGAGAAGGCTGCCTTTTAGAAATTCTTTGTGGACCCTGTAAGCCAATATGAGAGACAGACACTGAAACCTACCAGATAACATTCTACTTGTAGCAGCATAAAGGGGGGCAGAGGGTGGTAAAGGTGGCATAGACAGAAGAGCTCCTCCCAGACAAGCAATGCGTTTAAAGCTGAGGAGGAGAGAGAAAGAGGAGAGTTTTGTAATCTAGTACAATATAAAGTTAGCAAGCATCCACTTATTTCCAACAGATGCATATATGCTATCTATTGGATATTACTTGTAGCTGTGTCCTCTGCAGAGTAGTGGGCAAATACTGTAGCACACAAGACTACAACCATCAGGATTTCATATTTAAGGAATGCCACATCCAGCACAGGCTCAGGTGTGATGGTGAGAACCATCTGCAGGTAAAGTTTAAACTTCAGGATAAACCTCTTTTCTTTTGTACCAGCTCAATGGGAAAACAAACCCAGGATAAACCTCTTGTCCTTTGTACCAGCTCAATGGGAAAACAAACATTTAGCTGACAGTCCATTGAAAAGGAATGTCAGACTCCTATCCTGCTTTAATCCTGGTCACCCAGTCCTGTTCGGGGTCTAAGCATGCTCTGGCCACTTGTCTACAGGCTTCAGAAATAGGGGCAAAATTATTCTTCAAAGTAACAAAGCAGTACAAAGGACCTGAGCCTCACTCTCCCAATGGATGTTCCTCTCCCTTTGATTCTCCTTTACAAAGAAACAGTCGTCTTCTTCATTTTCACAGGAATGAGCCTCTCTGATGGTGCTTCCATGTCTTCCAGTTTGACCACTGAGGTGAAATCATTATTACCCGAGGTCTTCTAATAGACTACAAGTCAATAAAGAACTTACATGAACTTCAGTTCTGGTCCAAGTACTGGGATGTTGTTGCTGCCTTTAAACCTACTCTGTTACACAACGGCATAATTAGATTTAACTTAGACACAAAAAGAAAAAAACTGCAGAAGAAAACCTCTCTGGACAAAGTTTTGCCTGAGATTACAAAATGGCTCACAAAGTCTCACACTGCAGAATATCTCAAGAGTTGTCTGGGGCTACAGCAGCAAATGAATCCCCACCACATGTACAGCACCTTGCATGGAACCTCAGATGCAACTACCACCTTTTCCCAATGTGGAATTCAAGTGTCCAAAACTTCAGCACTGGACAGAGAGCAAGGAATCACACAGCACAATCTGCCAGCACTTAAAGTAGGAGGTGAAAAATCAGCTAGATATTCTCCTCTCGTCCTTTCTAAGTACAAGGGCTCACTTGAAGTCCTATGCAGTGTTTACCCACACGATGTTTGAACGCGTACTTGCAGAGCCAGAGGATACCCTGACTAGATCAGATGCATCTGAGTATGATTTGCTTGTTAAACTAACTCGGTGCCACCAACATGAAAATGGGATTTAAGCAAACCTCAGTAGAAGTTCTTGGTGACTGAAATCTAAAAGTAGTAGCACTCAAAACTGAGCTCAAGAATAAATGCACCAAAGGAGTGGGACTATACTTTCCTGCTCCCCCCGTAACAGCATTTTTCCTTTTCTGCACAGAATAGAACGTGGAACATCCAACAGCCTGTCCCAGCTCCCTTCCTGCTCTCAAACCCAGCTGGCTGGTGCCGAAAGCAGATT